TTGGTGGTGGGAGAGATCAGAAGGGTGGTGGAGTGAGAGAGGGTGTATTTTAATCCGTATTACACTAGAATTTTCCTCTCTTGTATGTGTAGTTATTGGTTCAATTATGAGAGAGAATACCCGATTCTTTGATCTTGAATCTGGAGCTCCATGCCCATTTCCATATTGGTACATGCATTGGGCAATTCGAGCAAGGTTAATTGCTGCTTCAGTAAAAGGTTATCCGAAAGGAGAATCAGCTACTCGAGCTTTGTTCATCTTCTTCCATGTCTCCATTAAATAGCTCTTGTGTTGACGGGCATCTTCTTCACAAAGCCCACTTCACGCATGTAACACGGTATTGAATTTCCTGTTTTACCTCTCTTGAACTCGGCCTATTTATGCAACAAAAATAGTTTGAGAGGGGACAGTTTTGAACAAATTAAAAATAAATAAATAAAATTCAAACTACCATATTTAATAGGAGTGTTTTACCTACCTTTGAGGTAACCAAATCATTGCAAAGTCGAAAAATCACAGATGGCCACTGTAAAAGTTGATGGTAATTTTCTAAGCAGTCCATAGCCTCCATTGTGATATTTTGGCTCATCAAAAAATAGGCATGAATTAGAACCACCACCCCAGAAGCTGAACGCCATCCATTCTCAAAATAGGAGTCGAATGTTGGAGTGTATTTGGTGTGACACCACTTTGCTTGTATTAAGAATGCTTTGCATAAATCTGCCCACTGTTATAGATGAAGGAAAAAAAAGAGAGAGAGAGAGAGAGAGAGAGAGAGAATATATATTGTAACATAAAATGTAATAAAACATCATTTAATAGACTGGCCAAAACATCTAATTAATAGTAACTGTGTACACATTCACAAATAAGAGGTATCCCCTTATAAGTGTGAGTAATTTTGCTCCCAAACACGTGAGACGTCACAAATAAAGAGTTCGTACGTGCATAAATGTATCGCTATTTTTAAATGTGGGATGATGTTCACTCCTGGTTCTTTAAGAGTGTCAAAAGCCATTTCATTGACAGTATTGTAGAGAGCAAGGAAGCACAACTTCATGTAGTCTGGAAGGGTTTCCACAGCATTGATGTCCCATCTAAAATACCATTTTTAAAAGCAAAAAAAATAAAATTTGAAAGTATTATTAAATCTTGAACAACATCAATATCCTAACCATATATTTATATATGTGAGTGTGTAAAAATAAAAACATAAGCATAGAACTAACGGATGGATTGGTGTGCAGTAGTGCGAACCTCTCAACACAATGGTGGATCGAGCGTTGGGCTGGGCTGGGCTCCAACCCACCCCAAAAAAAAATAAATAAATAAATAAATAAATTTAATTACTATGGGTATTTTTAGTCCAGCCCAAATTTATTATTATTATTATTAGTATTAGTCCATTCAAATGAGCCCAAGTCATCTAAGTCACGTATTAAAATAAAGGCCCAAGGCAGACAAGCCCTATTAGGATATGAAATAAAACATAATTTGAGATAAAATTATTCTAGAAGCAGTTCTGAAATTATATATATAGAATAAATTCATAATTTCAACACTTTCAAATCATCATGAAAAATAAACAAAACTTCCTCTGTTTATCTAGAAAGTATTCAACAAACAAATAAAAAAAATCTATGGCATTATAAACTAGGAAAATTTGATGATTTTGATCTCTAAGTAGACAAGGAGTATTAGTATAAAGGAAAACATTTAAATCCAATAATTAACAAATTAGAGGTTACTATAAAATAAATATAGATGGGTAAGAATTAAAATTTCAAATTGATTTATAAAATAAAACCACAAACAAAAATTGCAATAATTCAATCTTTAAAATCAAAAACCCAAATATGAAACGTGTTAAAACAGAGTACCATAGGAAATAAATTTCTTACTGATTGCATGACCGTACGGGACCTTGTTTGAAAATTTGATTTGGAATCTATTATCGACGAATTTGAATCTTTACCGACTCGTCACGCACCACTTAGATAGATATTTTGTAATCTTTAAATTCAAATATTTATCTAAATTATGTTATAAAAAAAAAAAATGCTTAAGAAATTGTATTATTAAATTTATGTTTAATTTTAGCCCACCCCAATGACAATTCCTGAATCCGCCCTTGTCTCAACAGCATCTGTAAATAGCTCCAGTTCATCTAAAGATCCATAAACATTGTAGACATCATCGATGGTAGTTATTAGTGCTATAACTTTTGTTAACCCTTTACGGCAATTACTGAATTGAGGTTCAAAGACCACTCCAAGGGACCAAAAGAAGCATTCCATCAGCCGGTCCCTAACGAATCTCAACTCATTCGCCAGGCCGATACCCTTCCACCACCTAATAGACACAGATGAAGATTACTACTCAAAAATGGTGCGGCCACTGTTTATTTGAGTTTCAATTGAATAGTTTGAGCCCAAAGTTAATAAGTTGCTCCATTATATTATGATCTGGAGGTCATTGGTTTGAAACCGAAAACAGTCTCTCTGAAGGTAAAACTGTGTACATTTAACCCTCTCCAAACCTCACCAGAGAGTCTCCTACACTTTCTTAACCATTTATATATATATATATATATATATATATATATATATATATACTGGCATGGGAATGTAATTATCTTCAAGTTTATAAACACTTTTTTTGGGTAAATAAGTTTTTAAACACTTGATCATACCTTGACATAAAGTTCACTTTGGTGTATTGATTGCACCATGTTAAAATCCAACTCATCAAGTTCAAGTAGCAAGTGATTTGCATCTTCCTTTTTACTTTATGAATCGATATACCACCTAGCTTCTAACCTCGTCACCCTATGGTGCAAAGAAAGCTCCAGGGCCGGCCCTGGCCCAAGGGGACCAAGGCAGTCGCCTAGGGCCTCAGAATATAAGGGGCCTTCAAATTTATAGGCCCATGTATGATGGGCCACAAAAAAAAAATGCAGCGAATCAAAATTTATAGGCCCATGAATGTTGGGCCACTAAAAAAAAAAAAATTATTACTGCAACAAAGGGCCTCAAGAATGATGGGCTACCAAAAATTAAAAAAAAAAAAAAAAAAAAAAAAAATCTAACCAAATGCAGCAAAAAGGGGCCTAAAAATATATATATATATATATAACAATAATAATAATATTAATAATAATTAGGACAAGCATATCACTTATATATAAAGGGCCTCACATTTAAAGTCTGCCTAGGGCCTCTCGAGATTTTTTCAATCTCAGGGCCAGCCCTGAAAAGCTCCATGATTTACATGTTCTTTAAAGCTGCTTGTCTCTGTGTTTTCCTTGAGGTACTTGAGATGCAAGCTTGTGAATGCTTTGGCATCATCCAATATGTTCTCCCCTTTAAAACCAAGATATGAAGCTTCATACAAGCTCAATAATCCCTTCACATCCTCGCATAAACACGCCATGAAATCACCTTTTGATTCTTGAAACGATTAAATACATCTGCATGCCATAGAAATATTATCTTATCAGATGTCGAGCTTGTAAAGTAGAACAAATTGTTAGATAGCAATGCTCTTAAACGCTCTGCTTGATAGAAGAAATGGAAAAACGGATGGAAGAGGCATTACTATAGAATGAGTACCTTGAGAGACCTCATAACCATGTTGCCTGAGGAGCCTGAAGCTGAGAGCAGTAGCATGAAGACTCATCTCTGTTCTAACGTTAGTAGATCTTATTCTGTCAAGGGCTACCTTTGTATGTCATCAATCAGTTCAAGCACTGTCAATGGCCTTGCATCTTCTTCATCAACCATAATTCTCAACTCCTCTTCTAGCTTCTTTGCCCTTTCCTTGTATACTTCTTCATCCTACATAAATTGTGTTTCAAAAAAATAATAATAACAAATAAATAAAGAGAAAAAAAAAAAAAAAAAAAAAAATCCTTCACCCACATGTACATAGTACTACTGAGTTACACTTGGAAAAGTTTGAACTAAATTTATTCCAATTTTAATTCTCGTGTCCAACCTCATAATAATTGTTTAGGATTCCACAAAATCATAACTCCAAATGGTGGGTTGGTAATTGGCGGATAGTCTGGCATCGAAATTGGGAGAAGTTGTTATGAGTGTGGTTGTGAGGGACAGATTGTTTAGGTGGACTATATGTTAAAGAGCATGGATGACAGGGCACAATATTCAAGTGTTGGAGTGCCGCCATTTTAGGCTGAAGTAAATTTTGAAATGCACCATTAAGCCTATATATAGAAAGTAGTAGCTAATACACTGCACTGCCATGAGGATTGACACTATCTCTCTGTTCTGATGAATCTTCCTGTATTTGTAAAGCAATTTTTCAATTTTTCAAGGATAATATGTGGACTACTAAAGTAACTTACTGTAGCAATAATTGAAAAAAGAAATACCCCTGGCTATCAACTTATAACCAGTAACCTTGTATAATAATGAGCAATTCCAACAAATAGATATATATGCTCATATTTTCTGCGGCCTGTTTGTCCGATTAACATAACCTCCTTCCGATCAAATCCGATTAAGGGCAATCAAGACACACCAGTCCAATCGGGACTAACAGGCAGGATTTTGATCTTCTCTATCAACATCTCTCTCATGCCAAGGGCAATACAAGTTACAACCCCACCATTCCAATCAAAATGGTAGAACAAGCAACCTAGTTTTCTCCGTGAATCGACACAGTCCCACCATTCCAATCAAAATGGTACACGACTAGACACCTTGTTTTCTTCGTCAAAGGACAATACAGTCCCACCATTCCAATCAAAATGGTAGGACTAAACAGCACGATCTGGATTTGGATCCCATCAAGCAATATCTCTCCCCTGTTTCCGTGAAAATGAATCCTCGACGGATCATTTGATATGTCAAAACGGGAGAGAGATATTGCTTGAATGGGGTAGCATGCCTCATAAATGCCTCATAAATGGGGTAGCATGCTTTTTTCTCAACCCTTGTATGATGGATCCATATTCACCGAAAACGGGAGAGAGATCCTGGTACTAAAAGTAACACAAGCATAAAATATGAATGTTCAACAAAAGCCAGAAACTAAAAGTGATTCAAACAAAAAATATGGAAGTTCTATATTCACCCCCAAAAGACATTACTCCTAATACTGGAAACCAAATGTTCAAAGCCGCATTTAGATACACCATCAGCTGGTGAAAGAAAGATGTTCAAAATTGTATATTAAAATAATTGTGAAATGCAAATTGAGATACTCTCTAAGCCTTATCAGCTTTTGCGGCAGTAGCAGCAGCCTGTCCCCGCAGACGACCAGTTCTTCTGGCTGCAATAAGACCAACCTTTTGGCCGGGAGGAGCATCCCGGCGTACAGTACTGGCATGACCAATGTGCTGGTGGTTACCACCACCATGAGGATGCTCCACAGGATTCATAGCAACACCACGAACTTTGGGCCAGCAGTTCCTCTTGACTCTGAACTTGTGATACGCATTACCTGCCTTAAGAAGCGGTTTCTCAGTCCTGCCTCCGCCTGCAACCTGACCAATCATAGCACGGCAACCACTTGGTACGATCTTCTTGGACCCCGATGGAAGCTTGACCCTAGACACAGCACAACAATAGAAAGATTGATTAACCATCAAAACAAGCACCAAGAGACTGTTGACTAACAAACAGGAATCCAAACATAGAACCACAAATCACATAAGTTAAGACGAGTCGATTGACTATGAAACAATTAGATTTCTCCTTAACGCGATATTTTACAAAAATGCACCTTATGTACCACTCAACCAATATGGTAAAAGCCACATACAAATCCCATGCCCAAAACTTCAAATTGAAACCACCCAATATCCTTGTCACTTTATCTTGTGGATGCTGCAAGATTTTTCATTCCCCATATTACAGAAACTCATAAGATTAGCAGCCTAATATTACAATCTAGAGAACTGTTTGGGAGACCAACAAATTAATAAATTCAAGAACATTATACAGACATCAGCAAGTCAAAAGTATATATATACGAAAGTAGAAGTTGTTCATGACAAACCAACAAAACAAACATTCAGCAAGTCTTATAGGAACTCTATACAGAAGTAAATAAATAGAAGAAAAAAAGTACTTCATGAGAAACCCTGCATGAAAAAAAAACCCTACACAAAAGTAGAAGTTGTTCATGACAAACCATGCAGAACCAACATCCCATGTTCTTCCATATTAACTAAATATCTCATCTTAAACCATGCAGAATCAAAGGTTGGGTTGTTAGCATTCTTCTCCTGCCCTACCAGACAATAACCCTCGACTTGGGTCCTCTAGCAATGGAAGACAAAGCCAACGTGCATAAGGGCAAAGCAGAGTAGGCACTCACACTTCCAAAAAGCATTGGACAGCAGTTACAAACAACAACTAAAAAACAAAACAAAAGCTCAATATAGGCTTTAAAACTTAGATCCACTGTGTTTGATTATTCAAAACCATTATGTTTCCTGAAAAGGAAAAGAAGGCTCTAAACAAAATGAGATATATGCGGATTCATTGACCACGGTGTCTTGCCATTAATAGAATTTGACTAAAGATCATTACGGTCAAGAAGCTTTTTAATAAATTCCTGTAGCCCATATGAATATTTACTCATAAAAATTAACCAATATTGGTAAGGAATCATTCATCAATAGGTTAGATTCAAGTAGAATTGAGAATAGATGATTCAGGGAGGTGGCGATAGAAGGTAGTGTCTTTGTGTTGACTATGTAATTATCAAACCAAATCCTCCCAACACCTTTGTTTTCCAAGAGATCACTAGTGTCAACCACTGCATCTTCTCTTCAGTAGAATTTGGGGTAATTCCAAGGAGATCTAGGTCTACTAAACAAGGGGTGTTCATTAGGGCCAAGAAACTTCTCGTAGACCAAAAAATATTGCACTCATGAAAATTTGTCAACTTAGACTGGTAAAGAAATTATTGATCCGCAGGCTAGGTTCAACAAGATTTTGTCAAAAGTAGAAATGACTGTGAAGAGATTGTACTGTACCAAAACTATCTCCAGGGACCATGCAGTGTAAATTGTGGTCGGTAAAACAAAAGATAATAAACCAATCATTTTTAACTTTAGTTAGCTTAATTTAATTAATCACAAGATTCAGAAGTAAATTCACTCCTGTCTCTTCCACTTTTTCTTTAAATTCATTAAATAATTCAAAAATGATTTATTCTCATCTTGTTCGAAGTCAGAAGGTGTGCTACGAGAACCCAACATTCCAAACAAGAATACTATCATTTCCTTTCTTTTCTCTTCGATCTATCCAAAAATGAATAGACATTATTACTATCCTTTCCTTTCCTTTCTTTTATCTCATAACTAAAGATATCCTTTCCTTTCTTTTCTCTGCTATGTATCCAAACGGAGCCTAATTTGTTATATAATTTATCATAAAAGTCCCCATGTCATGTTCACAAGTGAGTGTTTAAACGCCTGTCCCGCAACAAGTGTTTGCTGCATGTCAGACACATATTTTAGAAAACCAGAATTAGAACATTACAAAAAAGCATCCATCCAATCTCTAAAATCAGTTCAAACTCCAAAATTGAATGCGTTGAGCATCTCCAAGATTTCAGTGTAACCATTCCCTTTCATATATATCTAACTACGACTCAATTGCACTACATACACAATTTTGTTGACTCGGTTGCATTATAAATACAATATTGTTGAAAATTCAGTTAAAAGTTATCCCCTCAAAACATCACAAATGTGTATGCATTCCATATATTGTTGAATCAATACATCAAGTCAGTGCATCAATTAGCAAAAAAAAAAAAACAGATCCCATGATTTGTCGTGATGCAATGTAACAAATAAATGCTATGTGGTACAAGAAATTATTTTTCTTACTCAAATATAAATATAAAACCATAAAACATCAATCAGATCAAGAGCTTAGATACAGGCACATTATATGTAGATATAAGCATATACGTGTCTGAATTACCAAAAAAAACTTTCAGAATCGAGCCTCAACAAGCTAACAACTGCTAGATTAACATACAACGAAATTTAAAAAATAAAACAAATCAATGGAAAAAGAGAGTGAATGTATATACCTGGAGGTACCATTATCTGGGTTGTGACTGATGACAATGGCGTAATCCCCAGAGGCTCTGGCAAAGACTCCACGGTCACCCACATGGTGCTCGACGTTGCAGACTACGGCACCTTCAGGGATGGATCGGAGAGGCAAGACGTTGCCGACCATGAGATTGGCTTTCTTGCCGCAGTACACGAACTGGCCAGTGTACATGCCCTCGGCGGCGACGAAGAGCTCCTTCTGGTGCTTGTAGCGGAAGGGGTGGCGGAAGGTGACCCGGGCGAGTGGGGCGCCACGACCCGGATCGTGGACGATCTCGGTGATGACGCCCTTTAGGTAGCCGTTTCGCTCGCCGAAGTCGAGACTGCGGAAGCGGGCAGGACCCTTGCGGTGGTGAGTGTGCGACTTGAAGACGGAGCCGGCACCCTTACGCTGTGCTCTAATGACGCGACCCATCGCGGCTCTGGCTAGGGTTAGGGTTTTGGAACGGCTGGGGAAGTGGAGGGGATGACTGAAAATGGGTGGGTTGAGAATGAGACGTTTATATAGGGCTGAGTATTAGATGTTCAGTGTTATGGGCTAGGCCTCAACCCAAAAATGTTATGCTTAACCATGAAATGGTTGGATAGAGAATGAGAGTTTTTTTTTTTTTTTTTTTTTTGGAAATTTTAGCGACTGATATAAATATGAAATATATTTTATGTGGGGCTTTGCCCAAAGGTCCAAAAGCTTGTGAACAAGCCCAAACAAGTATTAGAAGCCTAAATTGGGAAACAAGACTAAAAGCCCAAACCAGCAATCTTGCGCATGCATAACACACGGGTTTGGTTTACAAAAATGCCCTTAAATAAATTTTTAATCATATTGATGTAAATAATAATTAAATATATAACAAAAGTAATATATTTAATATATATTATTAAATATTCCTTAGTTGACTCCCTTCAAAAGTGTGTACTCACACAAATATTATTTTACTTGCATTCAAATTTCCAAAGTTGTAACATTCTAAATAAATTGAAAGTTATAGATAATTAAATATAAATATATAATGTACATTTAATTTCAAATTTTAATTTTATATAATAACAAAAAATTTCACAAAAAGTAAAATTTCCAAATTTTATAAAAATATAAATTAGATTACATTTCACAAGTAATTGGGAACTTTTGGCACATGGATGGATGATTGACAATTAGTTCACACTATAATGAGAAAGATAGATCTTCTTGGTCTACTTGGCATTTGGTACGTGAATTAGATAATTAGTTCACACTCATGGGAGAAAAAGATGATTTTGATCCATTTAACATTTATTGAATTAAATTAGTTCATACCGGATGAGAGATAGATATGTCAATAACAAAGAGTGAAAGATTATCTTATTTATACAATTTGCTTAACCCTTCAGAAAAAAGTAAAATAAAATTAGGAGTGAAAGAATAAAGAATATTTTTTTTTTTTTTTTTTCAAGGTAAGAATGTTAAGGGTTAGTCGTTAGAGATGAAGAAAATGATACAAGACTAGAACATGGACTCCTGAAGACGAAAAGCAACCCAATCACGTAGACAATACAAAATTTATGAAAAAGTAAAATTGAAAATTTGATATATTGTGATGGATGTCTCACTCCCTTCTTAGACAACTCCTCACATCTCACATCATGAATGTAAGACTACTTGTATAGATATGTATGTGTGTGTGTGTGTATATATGTATGTGTATATATGTATATATATATACATATATGTATCTTACTATTCGATGTCGTGTGTGACACTAATAATTATCAAACCTAGATGGAAGTCAATTTCGTTGGTCCTAAATATAAATGCTCTAACAAGTTGTAGCTGTTGAAGAGCCACCAACTTGATAGGGTGATTAGGGCATCGTTATAACTGCAACACCTAACAACAACATTCAACGTTGAATTGTTCAAATATATATATATATAGTCATATCAAACAACATGTACCGTAGTAGAGGTGCATTGAATTCTTCAATAATCAAAGTATTTTTCTTATATTAAAACTACTATTAATAGATTTGATAGGACCTAAACTGAAACAGCCAACTTCGCCGCAGGCTTCCTTGAATTCTCTAGAAACAAATCAAACAAACAAATGTGATATGATATCCCAATAGATAATGTTATGGAATTCCATACTTTTCACTCAATTATGTGGTAGCGAAAGTTAAAGAACACCCTAATATTACAAGTCCGTTGAGTTTTGTGAAGCATTAATCTGTACATAAGATTTCTAAATATATATATATTTTTTTGGAACCGAATTGTTGAAAATAGATTCTCTGTTCTCACTGCACATATGACAATTTTGGTCATATAAAAAGGTAGAAAAGATTCAGTCTATATGATTTCTAATAAAGAAGCATTATTGTGGCGGCTCTGAAATAGCTGGGAGTAAATTTACCCTTCGTTGAAGGAGGACCAAGTCCCATTCTGCAGTAAATGTGCATATGTTGCCTACCACCACTTTTAACCCGTTGGAAAATTACATTTACTAGCTTTTTATATTCATAGACGAAAAAAATTGATGCATGTCATTGTAGTGCATAAAGGGATGTATACTTTTTTATTATTATTTTTAATTATTTTTTTATGACCAAAACATAAGTGAGGTTGCCTCTGGCCTCGTCTTGTCCTATGCATATGTATGGTTTTTATTTTATATATATATATATATATATATATATATATATATATTTGTCTATTATACTCCTAAAATTATTAATTTCCAATTTTTTTTTTCTCTTTTACTCTTTAAATTTCTTTAATTACCTTTTTAAAAAGATTAAATTTCTCTTATTTAATCATGTTCTAATTTGTTTCTTTCAAAATTCATTTTTCTCTCCTTTTTCTTCTTTATATTCTTATTTTTTTAAATAAAATTCCCACTATTACCCTTGAAATCAAATCTTGATTCCGCCACTGATATATTTATTTTTAAATAACAAAATTACCCTCGAATATGTTATGCCATTAATGTGCTTTTGCCACCATTTTTCGGCAGTCGTTGACTCTTTCTTGTTTTGTATCCACTTGTTGCCATTTATTTTAATCTTTTTGCCAAATATGGTTTAATGACAATCGTGCATGGAAGCAATACTAAAATATTAAGGTTCAACCAATTGACCTTTTAAAACATTCTTAATGAATGAATGTTGAATGAAGACGAGTGTCCCATTGTGCCCTCAAATATGAAATATGTGTCACTTCAAAATAGGCTGCTAATGGGCATGAACATCTCCTCCATGCAGTCGACTTATTATTATGAGTGTATCATAGTTTATATTTAATAACATAGTTAACAAAAGTAAAATATTTTGTGACGCGCTTGTGATGATATGAATCCATCACAATTATATTTAAGAGTAACTCCAATGCCCTCTCATTTGAATCTCTCAACTTCAAAATATGAGAGTTGGGTAAAAAAAAGACCTCTCCAATGGACTCTTATTTGAACTCTCAAAATTTGAAATTCTCAAATTTCTTCTCATTTATGACAGCTGCCAAATTTTTTTGGCAAGTCTCTCATTTCTCAAAACGGTGCCGTTTCTCACTAGTCATCACCCACTCGCATCTCTATATATATATTATATATAATATATATAAATTTTCGAAAAAAAATTATATAAAAAAATTAATTCACAAATAGTGGTAAAAAAATTATAAAAAATTTGTTTTTTTCTTTTTTGTCATTTTTTGACCAGATAATTTTGATTTGTATTTCTTTTTAATTAGGTTTAATTTTAGTTTCTTTCTAATGTCTACAACTTAACTTGGGATGTGACTATTTTTAATATTACTGATGCAAATATGAATGGTGGGAATGGTAGTTGAAAAACAATAGTGGTTGTGTTAAAAAATAACATTTTGCATGAAATGTACCGTTGGAGCAGAATTGCTAAAATGTAGCATTTTGGCACTATAGCTCCTGTCAAAATATAAATTTGGCATGCGAAAATAGGTTTTAGCATTGGAGATGTTCTAATATCATTGTTATCCCAAAAGTAAAATATTTTTGTCATTATTTATTTATTTATTCTTATTTAATTAAAAAAAAAAATACTTAGATCCAACTATATCATGAATTTACTGGTCCAAAAAATTTATACATGACACATCAGCTTGAATCTGAATCCTCACGGTGAAGGAAAGAGTCCATATCACTCAGAAGTGTACGTGATTTGGATCCACATATAGGTATGCGTGATCCAAATAGTCCACTACATATATACCATAACAAAAATTGTCGCTACGACACCTACATATGGATGTATAGGTCTCACAATGGATTACCACACCTACATCCTAGAGTTTGCATTTTTGTCTTTCAAGCCCAATAAGAGTTTCTTTTTTTTCTTTTTTTGGATGCTTACGTCAGCCGACAGCCAACCATGGCCTTAGCAGTTGCAATAATTTTCATGACTTCAGTCCACTTATTGGGCTTGAAAGACAAAAATGCAGACTCTAGGTACAGTTACAATATATATATATATATATATATAGACACGCACACCACCACCACCACATTAGTATCATGCTCCTCAAAACCACAAGAATTTAAGCTACATTGTAGTTATATTTTGGGATGGCCTCCCTTTGGAGCTTTTCCATTCCTACAAATGCCATACCAATCGGTGCTGGCGTTCTCCGGCTCTCACGGAAAGCTTGTTCAAGGTTTATATGCTCCTCATCACGTGCCACCAGCTCCTTGGTCCAACACCACAACAATTCCTTCCTCAAATCCACCTCTCCCCGTCATGTGGTAACCATTCACTACTATTAACTCTCTTTTTTCCCTAAACGCGCACACGTCCACAATATATATTACTTTGAACTCTCGACATTCGGGAGATCGAAATGATTGATTATATGTACATAAACTTGTTATAATGTGATGCATTAGGTTTTACCATGTGAAGATGATTATCAACACTGTGGTCAAAGGATAGAAGAACTACAGGAGAGAACTTCAAAGGCATTGAGAAGAGGCGTTGATGATCATCCAACGACTAAGATGAAGCTCATAGACACACTTCAACGGTTGGGAATCGCGTACCATTTTGAAGAAGATATGAATGTGTCATTGCAAAAGTTATCAGATTGGAAAGCCAACGGTGAAGATGATCTCTATGCTACTGCACTGCGTTTCAGGCTGGTTAGGCACAATGGATGGCCTGTTTGCTCTGGTACCGACCACTACTTGCCATTAGTTTTTTCTTTTTCTCTGCACTGATCTGTCCTTTTTTTTTTTTTTTTTAAAAGTCATTTTCTGTGAAAGGTACTGATCGATCACATGCCAAAGCATATTTCACACAAAAGATGAAATCTTATTTTTGTGGTCGATCGTTAACTTCAGGATAAAAAAAACAAAAGATGGAATCTTATTTGGCCATTGGTACGCTGAATTTTCATTGGGTGCAATTGCAAGTACAATTTTGCTGTTATATATAAAAGTTGATAATGTGACAATGGCGTAAATCAAGAAGCAAGGACACAATACGGTGTACCTTGGGCATGGCCAGTCCGGCCCAACCTCAACCCGATTTTGGGTTGGCCGGGTTGGGCCAACCCGATGTAATTTAAATTTGGGCTTCAACCCGTGAGACCCAACTCAAAAATTTACGAATCGGGCGGGTTATTTGAGTCAACCTTTCTTCTTCCTCTTTTTTTTTTTTTTTTTCAAAAACAACTTTCCTCTTTTTCCCTATTTGAATTTAATTTTAAATTCTTTTAAAAAAATATCATTGTAAAGGCCAAATATGTATATATTACTTTTTTGATTGGGCAATCTCTCTCTCCTAAGTGCCTATTACACATATTCACCATAATTTATCCTTAACAAAAAAATTATAACTTAATCTTAAGAGTCCATTTTTGCATCTAAAAGATTTCGTCACACCCTATAAACATTCAACCCCTCTTTCTTCTCTCTCAAACAAGAAAAATAAAAAGATTTGAATCTTCAATTTGAATTTCAAATATAGTTGACCAAATCATTTTTTTTTTCACCACTCACCCCTAATCACACCATCAATCAATTTAGACATCTGTTAAAAAAAATCACAATACATTATTACTATTATTTTTTTCCATCACCCACTCCCAAGTCCCAACCACACCACCACAGCCAAACAACCCAAATTGAAGATTAAACAAATATTGTATAATGAAAGATGAGGTCGACCCTTAATCTATTCAATCAATTACTTGACGCTCAGCTCTTGAGCCACCGGAATACCGGATGATGGAACCAAATGAGAATGGGTAGTCAGCTATATAAAGTTGGCTAATGTCGGTGACTTTGCCCCTTTTCTCTCTTAGCGTACGCACGAGTAAATGCTCTCTGCCAAGAGAAATAAGATACCCAATTTAGAAACCTAACAAGAAGTTTAGAAGCAAGAGGCAAAGGTCGAGGAACACAGCAGCGGCAGAGGTGGAGGAAGACGGTGTCCGCAGAGGAAGAGGAGGTAGGCAGCGGCACGTGGTGGTGACTTCTTCTTTGAGCAGGGGTTGCCGAAAGGTGGACTCACCATTGGTGGGCAGTTAGTTAGCTTCATTAACATCATCAACATTTCTTTTCTTTTTTTCCTATTTAACTATATATTGTCTTCTTGTAGAAAACTGAAGTTTATTTAATCAAATTTTGTATATAATTTAAGCTTTTTTTTTTTTTTTTTTGAGTTACAGACATATTTAAGGTGTTCATGGACGAAACTGGGGAATTCAAGGAATCCTTAAGGGACGACATGTGGGGTATGCTGAGTCTATATGAGGCCTCCTACTTAGGTGCAGAAGGGGAAGATATATTAACACAGGCCATGAAATTCACAACAACTCATCTTCGGCAGTCAATGCCCCGTATGACACCCCAATTTAGCAGATCCATTGCTCAGGCTTTGGAGCTTCCAAGGCATTTTAGGATGTCAAGGCTAGAAACCAGAAATTATATTGACGAATATAGCAGCGAAAGCAACCCGAACATGGCTCTTCTGGAACTAGCAAAACTAGATTTCAACATGGTTCAATCAATCCACCAAACTGAGTTGGCTGAGATTACCAGGTGACCCTCCTAGAGTTACTGAAATGTGTTTGTAACATGCTGCGAAATATGTTGCACAATTTATGAACATTTTTTTTTTAGGTGGTGGAAAGAGTTGGGACTGGTTGATAAGCTTAGTTTTGCTCGAGATCGACCATTAGAATGCTACCTATGGACTGTGGGAATATTTCCAGAACCATGTCACTCGAGCTGCCGAATCGAACTAGCCAAAACCATTGCAATTTTATTGGTTATTGATGATATATTCGACTCTTATGGCTCATTCAGTGATCTTGTTCTCTTCACCAATGCAATTAAGAGGTTTATATACTTCACTTTCTCTCTTGCTTAATTGGGGTTGAAGTAACTTCTTATATTGGAATTGATTTTGCAGATGGGATCTTTGTGCAATGGAACACCTTCCTCAATACATGAAGATATGTTATATGGCACTATACAATACTACCAATGATATTGGCTACAGGGTCCTCAAAGAACACGGATGCAGTATTGTTCCACATCTGAAAAGGACGGTAATATATTTTCAGCTTAAACTTAATTGAAATTGGAGAAAATTTAGTTCAAATACCGAACATAGCAAAATGAAATTCATGTAGTCTTAAAAGTTATGCTTGTTTTTGTTGTAGTGGATAGACATGTTTGAAGCCTTTCTAGTCGAAGCCGAATGGTGTAACAGTGGATATGTACCTACGGTTGAGGAATATTTGGCGAATGGGGTCACCACTGCAGGGACATACATGGCATTGGTGCATTCTTTCTTTCTAATGGGGCACGGTGTCACAGAGGAAACTATTAAGATGATGGAGCCATATCCCAAGCTCTTTTCCGGCACAGGAAGGATTCTTCGGCTTTGGGACGATTTGGGAACAGCCAAAGTATGTATTAGAAGTTAGAACCATACTTGCATGGTTGCATTTAATTTATTTGAAAGTAGAAACTAGTAAACTTGTCATGATATATAATTCATAAGCTTCATGACTAATTCAACATTAAATTGGTAAATTCTCTGATACCCAATTGGCTAATTCACTTAGTGATCATTATTGGCATACATTAATTATGATGGCAGGAGGAGCAAGAAAGAGGAGATGTTGCGTCGAGCATAGAGTGCTACATGAGAGAGTCCAACATTTCGTCGAATGGTGAAGCAAGAAAACATATAAGGCAACTCATTCACGGCTTATGGAAAGAGATCAACGGGGAGCTGTTAGCTCCAGAAGCATTGCCCTTACCGATGATCCGAGCTTCTTTGAACCTCTCAAGAACTGCTCAAGTAATTTTTCAGCATGGAGATGACAACAAGGGATTTAGTGTCGATCATCATGTGCAGTCTTTGTTCTTTAGACCCATTATTTCTTGAACCGGGTTCATATGTATTGCTAGTATTTTTTTTCTTACTGTTACATCTATAGAATGTCGATTCCTTCTAAGAGCTTGGAAAAAAGTCTTTGAAAATTGACACAATGAAAAGAACTTTAGATGGTTTTTGATGTCCATGAGTAAAAAAAGAATGGGGCTGTCCAAAGCTAGGCTCAAGCCCAATTAAGAAAGAACGGGTTCAAGTGATTTTATTTAAATAGTCTGTCCAAAGATTGGCTCAAGCCCAAGTAAAAATGGCTTGAGATTGGGTTCAATGGACTTTTTTTAATGATAGGCTGTCCAAAGCATGGATCAAGCCCAAGAAAGAGCGGGTTATGGGTTCAAGGGACTTTTTATGGGCCTTATTCTGGTTTCACCTTCCACTATGGGTTCAAGGGACTTCTTGTGGGCCTTTGGCAAACTTGGCCTTATGGTTTCACCTTCCACCAGCCCATGTTCCCCATTTTATTATTATGTTTTAGTTTATGTTTTTTTTTTTTTTTTTTTTTCACGGTAAGAAAACACACTCACACACCCACACACCCACATGCCCCTACAGACTTGAACCCTCGGCCTTAGAAGATAAGAAAGTACCATTAAACTACACAACTGTTGCTACTTTACAGTAAGTGTTGAACCTCTTAGAAGTTAGTAGAACAATTTATAAGTCATCACTAGGCATATGCTGTTAATAGTATCCTTTTTTATGTGCAAAACTATTATTGAAATTTTCTTGTGAGTAACTCTAATGAGTTTAGATTTTCAACTTTCAAAATGTGAAGTGAGAGTTTTGCTTATGTCCTTAGAATTTTCACCCAAATTTTCCCTTCATTTTATCTGTCTTCTTTAATTTAGGCACAAAGTAAAAAAATGATCTCTTATTTATCAACGAGCAATAAATTTTTTTATATAATATATATATAACAATCATTTTAAACTGTCACTATTTTTTGTGTGGATAAATTTTTTGTTCATCGGTGCACTTTGAGATCATTTCTATTTGTACATATATGTGTGTATATATATATATAAAAAAAAAAAAATTAAAAAAAAAAAGAAAAAAAGAAAAAAAAAAGTCATGGAAATGAATGAGACTCTAATTTATGAAGGGTGAGTAGCTTCTCCAAAAATCACACTATTTGTGTACTGAATAAATGATAAGAACAACGTTGAATGTCGTGACAAAAGTTCCTCTATTATGATGGCTTTGATATCAATCATGCACCATGTTTTGGCTCCTTTACAGGAGTATATATATTTGTTTCGACATGACGTCTAGTTTGAGTTCATTTTCACACATTTCAAACACTTGCGTGCATTGGGCAATTGAACTTTCACATGTTGGATTGAACAATTTCGAACTTCTTCACCAAGCAAGCACTAGTCCCTAGTTAGTACTATTGCTTATGTCTTGGAAGAACAATTATTTGTCTGCATGCGATCCCCGTGAGACAATAGCACATATATTTCTAATTTATATAAACAGACAAACATTCCTTCTTAATTCCATAATTTGGCTTTGGAAAAAAATAATATATATAAAAAAGACATCACGTAAAGTGGTGACACCCTTTTTTTGGGGACTGTTTGGTTTATTGTTTTAACACGTATTCTTTCCAAAAGCCATCACTTCCTATCGTCTCGATATCTATGCCAACTCTGCCACTTGCGCCATCGATCGGGTAGTTTGTACATAATATAACGCGGCCGACAAGTCTAATAATTTGGCCTGCCTGAGGTAAATTACACTGACCTTTTTATGAAATTGGGGCAAATTAAATATAAGTAAATTGTTTATTGTTTATTGTTTATTATTTATTATTTTGACATTCTAAAAAATATTTTGAATATAAAAAATTAATAATGCATTTATATTATAAAATATTTTAGACAAATAAAAGACGAGTTTGTGGTTTATAAAAATTGGAGAGAATTAGGGTGTTGAACATTATAATTTGGCCAACTCTAGGTAGGGAAGTGTAATAATTTCTGCACTAGATCTCTATTTTTTTTTTTTCCTAGTTAATATTTAGGCCTTTTTCAAAAAATAGTTTGTACCAAAAAAGAATCGAACCTTAGACTTGATACTTCTCAAGGCATCAAAGCCAAGTGATTTATTATTAAATGGAGACTTATCTCACGTTGAGTGGTTTTTTTTTGGAAGTTAAAACAATTACACATACACCTTACCTCCACCGAAGTTGAAACCTCCGACCTTCTCAGGGGTGATACCACTGGCCCATTTGGTCCTTTGGTACCGTGTTGAGTGATTTCACTACCTAAAAGCTTAAGTTTTTTGGTCTTATCGCAAAACACCCACCCAGTCTGTTACAATTGGTATCAAAATCAAACTCTGTCTTTTATCTGGTGCCACGCCAATCAGGAACGGATCTACTGTGGGCTCAGTCAGGGCATCCGCCATTCTGCTCCTCCTGAAAATTTTTGTTATTTGATTTTATACCCCTAAGTTTGTACTTTTTTTACACTTAAACCAATAAATTATTAAAATTGCCCCCACTAAAATTATGAAAAAAAAAAAAAACCCTCTATATAAATTTGTCCCTCCCTCGTAAGTTTCTAAATCTGTCCCTGACACAAAGGAATTCAATTGTAAAATAAGTATATATGAGTTGTGTTAGTACCAATGAATAAATTAAATTTTTAAATGAGGTCGCAAAATATCTTGCCTTCACACTTAATCGCTTTGAGCCAACCCTTGTAATTTACTAGTAGTTGCAAGCCTAGGATACCAAATGCATTTAATTATGTATTTATTTGTGATATAAATGCTCACACATATGTACAAATAATAGTAAAATTGTACGTGAGTAAAATTTAATTTAAAATTAATATTCACGAATTATATAAAATTAACACAAGGTAAAAGGGATAAAAATAATAATTTTTAATTAAACTTTACAATAGAAATTCAATTATTAATAGGTATATTTTTAAACTATCAAAATTAAGACTATTTTATCTTATATTAATTTTAAAATGAAAATTCATAATAAATAGACAATTTGTGTTAGAATTTTATAAAAAAAATTTTAAAAACTTTTTTTTTTATTAAATAATAAATATTGATAATATTAAAAATTCTTTACACTTATAATAATAGTATAGATAAGTTGTTTATCTTCAAAATCTTATTTAACGTGGGAGAAGTTAGGTTAAAAAAATAAAAAAAATAAAATAAAAAAGGGTTACTTGAGGAGCAGTGTAGGGTTCAGTAATGAGTGATCTCTAATTTCTTTCCACTGCAACCGACACTGTAATAATTAGCCGTGTTGAACTGGTAATTAGCAGCTGGATTTCATTTTTTATCTTTAATTTTGATTTTTGGTAAAAGAGTAGTTTGGATTTTTATTAAATAACATGACCCAACGGAAAGTTGATATAGATATGGGGTGGTAGAGTAATGGTACTGTAGAAAATTGAATTGGACGCGCCAACTCTTATTGGTGACTACGTGACTTCCAAGGTTTGATTGATCAGACAGAGGTGATGGGACCTTTGCTAATTATAGTAGTACTACTTATTTGTTAAAGCCAGCCACCACCACCACCACCACCAGCAGCAGTATACTGTATCGAATCACAGAGGCGTCAATTCCAATAACACAACCTCCACGTCAATATGCGTGCACTCCACCGCCTGTCACACATAAGTATTCACAATAAATCCATGGTCCCCACTCTCCACCTAATCATATCTGATACACGGTTGAATCCTCATTTTCCCATAGTCTTGCTTCAATAATACTTGCTACAATTAGTCCTATATGTTGACAAAAAATAATAATAATTAGTCCTATATGCATTTTTTTTTTTTTTTTTTTTTTTGACTCCACCTCGACTATTAAAAATGTCTTAGAGATATATACATACATTTGTGGAGTTGAATTAGTGCGGGTTGCTCTATTTTTATTATTGCAAAATTTTACCCTTATAGCACTACTATTCCACAAACATTGGAAGTGCCAAACCTTCGAATCAGTCCAGTTATAGTTCAACCAGTTCATGACGAAATCGAACAGACCTATTTACAGAATTCATCAAATCCTGTTTGAATAAATGATAATTATAAGAAATGGCCTGTGACTTTAATATACCTTTGGCATAGGCTCTCATAGCCTATGTTCTAGGTTGAGGCAATGATGGGCCTACGTCACTCCAGATCCCAGGGATCAAAATTGAGTTTCACAAGCTACCCATCTTAATGTAATAATGGACTACTCCCTTAATGAAAACGTCACTCCATCTTGTCAATTGTAAATATGAAAACATAATAAAACATTATAAATTGTACAAAAGTTATGCGTTTATTGAAAATTACTCCCTCTCCCTCACTGTGAATTTCGAAAATTGTAATTCATAATGGTTTTTGAAATCGGCATTTAAAATATGACAAAGACAAAATTTATTAAAATTTCAAATTTAAAAATGTCTGTATTTAGCCAATTATAAAAAATTATTTTTTGAATTACGAACCAATCAAACCCTACGTCTTCTTTGCCCACTGCTTTTGCAACAGTAAATTTAGATCGCAACTCTTCTTTAAAATTCTTCTTTTAACGGGAATTCTGAAATACTACTATTATTATGTTAGTTGTATTGAATTTGATGTCTTGAAAATGAAATCTAAAAGTAAATTAGGTTGTTTTAGTTTTAAATTATTGATTAATAAAGAATAATAAAGTTAAGTGTTTTAAAAAAAAAAAATTTAGTTAATCCATGAACATTACCAAAACAGAACTCAAGCCAAGTAATATTGCTCGACGAGTTTCATCACTTTTCTCTCTTTTCCCAACTGAGCCAATGTTTTTAAACCGAAATGTTGTGAGACAATGTGGCATGGTCTAAAACTGACCATGTCTTCCCTTGTTTGCAAATTTTCAATTGGTCAACTTAACATACATTATTCTTTCCTTTTTTTTTGTAATTTAATTTAATTTTTTTTTTTACACTTTCCTCTTTTTTTGAGACAATGTGACATTAGGTAGCATTACAAAAAAAAAAAAAAAAACAGAAAAAAAAAAAAAAAAGATTTACGTAAATTTTTTTATTCCTGACAAAGATAAATAAATTTATTAATTAAAATTCAGACATACAACCAGGTAGAACCTCCAACATCATATCAGAAGAGAGATTCTCAATGAACAAGAGAATCATGTGCTGACACAGCACATGAGCAAACCGAATCACTCATGAGGAGATTTACTTAATTATTTTGGAAGGTTCAATTTCAGCCTTTAAATTAAATTGTTTTTTTTAAAAAAAAACAAAGCAGGTCCAAAAATCTTTGACTAGACTACAGATGTTGCATAAATTAGGTTGTTTGTGAAAAACATAGGTAAAATCTTTCAAAAATAATTATTTTTTCTAAATTCTATGAAAAATAAAAGAATAATGCTTGAAAACTAGAAAAATTTCTCCAAATATTGATCACAAAAACTTATGGAACTATCATTTCACTATATTGCACCACATAGATTTAGATATTGTCAAGTTTCATCTGATTTCATAAAGTGAGTTTCTTTTATCAATAAAAATTAAATTACAGCAGCCCTTAAAATTTAAGTGTATAAATTAAATGATCAAGCATTTTAAAAACATGTAAAAATAGGTATAATCGTAAAACTCTATTCTAACAAAATTAACAAGAGCTAAAAATAAAATAAAATAAAAATTGACCCTATTAATGAAAAAAATAATACTAATTTTCATTTTGAGTATATCTTGTAAAAGCTATGTTCATTGAAATAAAACTTTGAAAAAGAAAATATCAAATTCAAGACCCTGAGCAAAACCCCACAAATTCAGAGTTTTAGAACACTCATCCCTTATAATGTGGAGGTATAGAATTGGACTGTCAGGAACTTTTCCAGAAACATATGGCTACAAGTTTTATATTCCGGGACATGTTGATCTCTCCATCTCCATTGCATGATTGACCATTACCGAAAGTACCCATCCTCAAGTTTCATTTTTACTAAAATATGATTAAGATCAGATAAAAAAAGCATGGATAGTTCTGTAAAATCAAAGTATCACCATTTGTTTCATTCTCTCTTCAGGATTCCATGGGACATGTCAGTACGAATTCTCATCCCCCTTCACCTGCCCCCATGGCCCAAACATTCGTGTCTCTCTATATAGTATATATATTGATTGTGTGTGTATATATATATAATGTGGCACACATTTCGATACTTCAAAAAAATAATATTTTCTCCAATTACATCACATACTATATGTAAAGAATGATACAGTGCAGGGCACTTGTACTATTCCATTGACGTGATTGTTAATAAAGTATAAATAAAAAATTAAAATATAATAAGTAATACCCTCTACCAACTTCATATTTTTTGGTGTACAAAAATATTCATCCTCGGCATTCACTAATATTTTACCACTTTTTTTATTGTAAATTAAAAAAAATTTAAAATAAATTATGTTATTGCGTTAATTATCATGTTAAAGTAATGAAATCAATCAATATATATATATATATATATATATATATATATATATATATTACCTTCCCCTTCTTACCCTTCAAACAAAACTAGCATTACAGAGAAAGGGGTGGATTTAGCTGGGCGAGTAATGGTATAGTGGTGGCAGGTTAGGGCCCTTGAATTGTATGGAATATGTGATAATATGTGATAATGTGTGTGTGGTGTGTGTGTCGGGCGCTTTCGGACAAAGAAGGACTCTTTTTTAACAGCCCACTGCAAGTGACAGCTGGACAGTACATTGAACAGCTGTCGTCGTCAACGTGTCGAACAACCATTGGGAAGGATCTGCTTCTCATACTTTTCCAACAGTGACATATCGTAGTGAGTGCCCCTCACAAGAACAGCTTTGCCCAGCTAAGCCACAGTACCAACGGCTATAATATTTGATTTTCACAATCTTCGAAGGGGTAAACCGACGTGGACAATGACGTGCCCAGAAAATTGATTGACGTGGCCGGATGACATGGCACGTATCTTGATGAGGGGCTTGTCACGGAAGCCAGACAAAATTGGCTATAAAAACCACATTGCTTGAGCATTGGCCTTCACAGAGCATTTGCAGAGTAGAAGCTTCACTGAGCTCCCCTCTCTCTCTCTAACTCTCTCTCAGCTCTTTCTCTCTCTAAGTGATGGCTTGTTCTCTTGGTCTTCCAATGTCTATGATGTGGGTTTTGCTAGCTTTCTCTTTTGCCATTGTTATGGTTGGCTCTGTTAGCCCTTCTAGGTTTGATGAGCTTTTTCAGCCCAGTTGGGCACTGGACCATTTCGCCTATGAAGGAGAGCTTCTTAAGATGAAACTAGATAATTATTCTGGTAAATAAATGAATTTCTGTGTTGGGTCTTCATGATTTTACTTGTTATGTATTGGGTCTTTCAATTTTAGTTTTCATTTACTTATTTTTCTGCTATAGTTTTTATTTTTATTTTTTTGTTCTTGATGGTCTTTTTTTAAATCTGATTTATATTACATATATGCAATTTCAGGGGCTGGTTTTCAATCCAAAAGCAAGTATATGTTTGGGAAAGTCAATATTCAGATCAAGCTTGTAGAGGGTGACTCTGCAGGGACTGTCACTGCTTTCTATGTGAGTTTAAATTTAAGTGTTCAGTTGCAGAAAATAGAAAACTTGACATCGTTTAAATTCATGAACTGGGGTAGTCTTAGCTGGCTGTTCCTTTCAGCTCGTGAATTGGATTAAATTCCATTTATTTTCACATTTAAAGCCTACCCACCTAATATTTTGTCCATGAACCATTCACTTCCTTCCAAAAAAAATTAGGATCTTTTATTTAATTGGGTCAATTCTATTTCTTGTAGAATTTGAAGACTATCATTCTGCTTTATGTTGATTGGTAATTTTGGTAATTGACTGTGACAGTGATGATGATGATGACCAGTTTTGCTTTACTCTTTTTTGAGCTGTTGATGTTGATATTTTCTTTTTGGTTTTGATGTGTGCAGATGTCATCAGACGGCTCAAATCACAACGAGTTCGATTTTGAGTTTCTGGGAAACACCACCGGCGAGCCCTATCTGGTCCAGACCAATGTGTATGTCAATGGTGTGGGTAATAGAGAGCAAAGGTTGAACCTTTGGTTCGATCCCACTAAGGACTTCCACACTTATTCCATCCTCTGGAACCAGCGCCAAGTTGTGTAAGCTCTCTCTCTCTAAATGTATGTATTGTATGTATTCTATACATATATATATATACTAGTTTATATCATACGCACAGACATACAATCAAGTCCATTTTCAAGCTTTTGCACCTATAATTAATTCCAAAATTTTATTTACTTGTAATAATCAATGTTACATTAATGTTTAATCAAATCTGAATCTAAAAATGTGACATTCGATTCAGATTTTTGGTGGACGAGACACCCATACGAGTACATTCCAACATGGAAAACAAGGGAATACCGTTCCCAAGGGACCAACCAATGGGCGTGTACAGTTCAATATGGAATGCGGACGACTGGGCCACACAGGGTGGTCGGGTCAAGACCGACTGGTCCCACGCACCCTTTATCGCTTCCTACCGTGGCTTTCACATTGACGCCTGCGAGTGCCCGGCGACAGTGGCGGCAACCGACAATGCGAGGCGGTGCAGCAGCAGCAGCGAGAAGCGGTACTGGTGGGATGAGCCCACAATGTCAGAGCTGAGCCTCCATCAGAGCCACCAGCTGTTATGGGTTCGAGCTAATCACATGATTTACGACTACTGCACTGATGCCACGAGGTTTCCGTCGACTCCGGTGGAGTGCCTCCACCACCACCACTAGTGGTGTTGCCCGGCACTGAAAGGGAAAGGGGTTCAATCGCATTGTAAAAAAAGTGAAAAAGGAAAAGGAAATCAAAGTCTCCCCATAGATGTGAACTCCTTGTTACATATTTTTGGTTCAAGTACCTTCGCATGTTGTATGAATGATTAATGTGAATTAATTTTCGATTTCTATAATTTTTGCATCGAGTTGTTAATTTTGTGGGGTCCTCTCGAAACAATGCTGTTATTATAGTCATATAAATATCTCTCATGCTTAAAATGTGGAATCTGTGTGAAGTAACTTGTGCTACCAATACTAGTATAATTAATAATTGAATGGGCCAGTCCAAATGCCTGCTCACGGGCCGACTCACGGGTACAAGCAAAAAGTAAAGAGACATGAATAAAGTGGGCCATGATGACGCAGCCCAAAGAAAAAGTTGGATGTGGGTGGGCCCTTTTCTTGTAATGGACATTGAAGAAAAGAACCCTTTTGTAGGTCAGGCACTTGTTATCGGTCTCAGTAATCCATTGCATTTCCCTAGTTCAAGAAAATTGTTTAGTCGCTCACTTTTGAGTTTTGATATATATTATATATCACGCACACACAAATCTTGAAAATTTTGTCGTTCAATTAAGATGGTGGACTTGGGATAGTTTGACTTGGATAAAATAAGTAGGTTGATATTATTAATTTTTTTAGTTGAAATTATGAAATATTAGATTTAAAAATAGTGTTTTTTTAACAACAGTGACAAAATTAAACCATATAGAATAGAATTGTGCGGCTTTGTGGTACTAATACTTCACAAGGTAAGAATAGAACATTAGACTTCTTTTTTCTTTTCCATCATTTCAATGCAACTGTTAAAAATGCTAAACTAAAAATTAGCCTTTTTAGGTGCGTATCTTGAAAAATGCGGACATTATTTTTATATGATAGTCACTTCTCTAAGACACATCCCAATCTCAATAACTTTATTTCAATGTAGATGATTAGCTTGATTTGAGTATATATGCATGATAAACATGAAAATGATGCCTAATCATGGTGTTTAATTAAATTAATTAGCAAAAGGTGAACTTTATATAAAGTTATTAACCCATCAACAATCATAAAATTTCTTTCACTAAGCATATAAATATATTAAAGAAATCATAATTTAATGCTGTTTGATTGGTTAGAATGTTGGTAGGAAAAGATGGGCTTCACACATTTCTAGTAATGCAGTGTTTGAGATTAATTTTGTGCATAGTGCGTGATTACACACACTCAACATTCATCATCTTCTTCGTCGGTGCAAATTTCCACTGTCGTACCAGTACTGTATAGGACTATATAGATCCATCCCCTTTTGTCTATATAGATGGTTCCTCTTTTGCGTCCACTTCTCACCATCTTTCTACCACTTTAATTATGTAATTATCACATTCTTACAAAAAAACAAAAAATTACGTCAGTGCACGAGATTTTCGTCGTCATAAAGTCTAAATATAGTAATGAATACACCTAATCTTACCTTTATGAAAAAATTATTTTTAGTTTCGAACTCGTAACCCCTAATCCATATCACACCAATTTATTAAGAAGTCCGAGTCATCTGACTAGAATATCAAAATAGAGAGTCTACTTATTGGTATGCCCGAAATATCTTATACTAATTGATTATAATTATATTAGAGAAGTACCCTAGTGCCTAAACTTCCAGTATAAACCATTTTAGTATGATTATGGGGAATCTAGTGTTGAATTATTGGAAGAAGACAATCATTATTGCAGCAACTTTCCATGGAGAAAATGTATTCAAGCAGCTGATGACAAACAAAGAATCATTTATAAATCACTATCTAAATTGAGATGTTGTGTGTGTTAAGTATAACCACATCAACTAAAATAGCCACAAGTCCACTCACACAGACTCTCTGGACCACAAACACTAATAAGTGATCTCCAAAGTATGATAGCTAATATTTCATGCTCATACGTCCAATCTAGGTAGTAGGTACAATAATGCAAGTAATTTCAAACCATATTGTAATAGCTATATGTGGATAAAATGTTATCATGTTTCAATAGGAGCAAATTTTAACTATATATTGTCTTTATAATCTTGAACTTTTAATTTAGTGAAGAACAAAAATTCATTATCGAATTCAATTATTGTGATAACTGTATCATTATCGTGATAACTGCATCTCATTTATTGGACGAAGTGTAGTGAAAGACAATTGACAATCAAAACATTCCTCCAATAGTTTTTACCTAGTATTTGAGTAATTTTCTTTCTAATGGTAATCCCATTATTAAATATTGGAGCATGCATACAGTGAAATTATATATTGACTAGCATGATTAATTGGGTAGAGGAAGATGCCCATCATGGTGGACCCTAATACTTGATGATGCATTGGGAGTTTTCCTTTTGAGTTGGACATACATACATATATATGGTGTTCCTTCAGTGTATAGTCGCTTGGGATGGGACGAGCTCTACTGCTTTTAAAATTTTGACACCAATAATTCAATCCATAGCTCCAATGTGTGTGTGTGTGTGTGTGTGTGTGAGAGAGAGAGAGAGAGAGAGAAGGGGGAAGGTAACAAGGAGGAGATATTTATCTTGTTAATGGGATGCATATGGACCACATCAAATGATGGATGGCAAAAGAAAGTGTGGTAGGTGTGAAGTTGAGAATCAAATGGTACAAACAGAGGGACCCTCTTCCTCTTCAACTGTTGAAATATAGGTTCAAAGTTGCAGAGTAACTTGTTCATTAGGACCCCCCCACTTCATCTTCTCCAGCTAGCATGCTGCATTACTTCTTAGCCAACCATTAGCTAGCAAGAGACAATAATTATTGCAGCAACATTTTGTTTTATAATATTCCAAAACAAACCCCCTTTTGTTTGTGTGTGTGACTGTGTGTACGGTCCGAGAAATTATTTGATGGACGAAATTAAAAATCTTGTAAATAAAATTATCATATTTAGTTGTTCGACAATTTTGATTGATCAACATCGCGTCAATCTAATATTTTTTTGAAAGACGCATTCTGGACATAAAATTTTGACCATTGTCAATTCTCATATTGAAACTGATTGTATTTGTAAGCCTTTTCAAATCAATGGCACTTAGATTTCAGCTTGCATGTGAATAAATTAAAACAGATGATGGGAAGAAATAAATAGGTCACAATAAAACAAACCGACTCCTACCTACTTTTGTTTTATGACTTGGAGGTCCGGTTCTTCTATTTTCATTGGGTAACATTTTCCATACTTTCCTTTTTTTTAAAAAAAAAAAAAAAAAAAAAAAACATTTCCCATACCTTAATTTGTCCTAAACAAGTGAGATATGGACATCCATAGAAGACCAAATTAATGGTCGTGATGGTGAAGCAATCTATGTTTTATAGAGTTGAAATGGATAGAAGGGACTGAGTGATGTAATAGCAAGCATAAATCAACATCAAGAAAAATGTAGACTTTGTCTAAACAAATTAGACTTTTTGTGAAAAGGAATTTGCCATGTATAAATTGGGTGTGTGGATACTAGGCTTTTGGTTCAAGTCCAATCTCATTCACGGTCCTTGAGTAAGAGGGCAGAAGAGACAAAGATTTCTGAAATCTTCATTTTTTTTTCTTCAGAAAGTAAATTTTATTGTTGTTTGTATTTTGTAGAATGAAATTCAAGATTTCGAATTAAATACATATATTTATATAAGTATATATTGTACATTACTATTTTTATTTTATTTTTTTAACATGGAAAACCCTCCAAGGGAGGGGCTACCTCTTCCTCCAACGCACCTATCTCATGCCTCACTCCACTTGATACGTTACTTTTGTTACAAATGGATAATCAAAGCATTTGCAAAATGTGTTAATGAAGCTAGACCCAAACAAAGCTACCAAAAAGTACATGGTACATACAAAGGGCCATTAAGAAAAACAAAAACAAACGCAACATTGGTGAGATTCAATCTTTCTCGCCAAAAATACCTCTTTTTTTTTTTTTTTTTTTTTTGAACATGGAAAAAACACACCGCAGTTGTGATTGATCTGCGTTTATTGTTAGATTAATATATTTTTCTTGCCATGAAAAAACAAAACAAAAACAAAAAAAATCTATATACGCCGAGGACTTAAACTCGTTTTAAATGCATTATTGTCGCCATGCGAGTCTTAGGAGAGAAATTTTAGGTTGGGGTCCGGATTTGTACTATGTAATTAAAGTTTGAAAATTTTATAAATCAATTATAATATAATTTTTTTTATAAATACTATACTATGAGAAATTTTAAAAATGAGAAAAATAAAACTTAAAAACAGACAAAAAAAAAAAAAAAATTATATTAGAAAGAAAAATATAGAGAAAAAACGATGAGTTACAATTTAAAAGAGAAGATGTACAGAAATGAGTATTGTTAGAGAATTAATTTTTCTTCATCAATTGTTTCAATTTTTCAAAATTTAATTTTTGGAAGAAAATTTTCGAGTACTTTGATTTCACTTGGGAAAGATGTATACTAAATGAAATATTAGAGAAAAAAAAAATAATGAATTTTAACTAAACAAAATAATTTTAAATTAAACAAGATGTCAATAAAGATTGTTATATAATTCTACACATTTTTCTTGCAGTCATCATTGTACAAAAATGTCTGACAAAAAATGATTGAAGCTTTTTTTATTAAACATGATGGAACATTAGTAGTAATTTTTATTTTTTTTATTTTTATTTTTTATTTTTTTCTCTTGAATTAATATTATAGATATTGTACATGTGTATATGTAAATAAATTAACAATGCGTTACAATAACAACTATAATAATAATGATCTTCTTCACAATATTCGAGCTTTTAAAAGCATAGTTAAAATGGTTATTTCAAGAGGACACATACTAAATTTATTTTCGAACTCTCTATCTTGGGGTTAATTTTCAAACTCGCTATTTTGGGTCAATATGTAATTGTTTTGAAAAAATTGGAGGGCCAATTAAAATTTTTAATGATTTTTAGGAGTAATGTTTATAAATTAATTAATATTTAGGGGGTAATAATAAAAAGTTTCAAAAAGTTTGGGACCCCGTCAAAAGTGACAATTTGCAACGTAAAGATTAACACAAGTAATCAGGAAAGATTTAAAAAACAAGAGTTAACACCTATTTTATTTTATTTTAGTTTTTTAATTAC